ATTTGGAGAACTAAATGCTGCTTATGCCAATTATTGATATTTAAATAGTCGAGTCCGGCGGGGGTAAGGGCCTAACACATTGTTTTGCAGAAAATGAGGCACGAAGTCCCCAGATTCGGCATGGTAACCACCATTCACCCAAGGTTGCTAAGCTGATGGGAAGACCTTCACTCCAGTGATCAGACTCTCGCCCGCAAATATTTGGGAAATTTGCCTTCTCTTTTGGAAATTCAACCCGACAACAAAATCGTAAAGGCTGCAACTTTATGCTGGGATAGCGACAGATCAGTGTTTCGCTTCTGGGACCTTGAAATGACACCTTTGCTCGAGGAAATAGAAGGGTTAGCCGATATTCCTTGGGAGACTCCGGGTTTGCTTATGCCAAAAAATCGCAAGGGTAGGGGTTTCCTCAAGATGATGGGACTAAAGAAAAACCCAGACTTGGCCTGTTTGAACGACTCTTACACTCCTTTCGACTATCTGTACGAGAGGTACGGCCATAGAAAGTCCTACCGCACTTACACAGATGAATCTGCCCTCACCTCATTGGGGCATATCCACATAAGGGTCTTCGTCTTTATGTTCTGCTTTTTGGGGATGATAGTATTTCCTATAAAGAAGGCTAGGATCCATACCAGACTAGCCATGGTCACCAAGATACTAATGGAAGGGATTGGCGGGCAGCCTTTTAGCATAGTACCTATGATTGTTGCTGAGATATACCGAGACCTGGAAAACTGTCAACAAGGGGCCAATCACTTTGAGGGTTGTAACTTACTACTCCAACTTTGGCTCATGGAGCACCTCCAAAAGGGTGAATATCGGCAAGAGATTTTGCGTAGAGACTGGGATGATCATATCGCCTTCCATCAGCCAAGGCGAATGAACTATATGCCTAACATGTTTGCTCAACCAGAAGATGCTAAAGGGTGGGTAGAGTTGTTTGAATATCTGAAGGAAGACAAAGTGCAGTGGATGTTCGAATGGTTCCCTACTGAAGAGTTCATCGTCCGATCTCGGGACGCACCATTTCTTATACTCATTGATTTGAGAGGAACTTATCCCTATGTCCCTCTCTGAGTCATGAGACAGGCAGGAAGAAAGCAAGTCATACCAAAGGTCGACAAGATGCGTCACTTAAAGGCCGACTTCCAAGACGACGATAGCCCATAAAAGTGTCAAGCTCAACACATGTGGCACTGCAAAATCATCCTGGGAAGGGATTCCATAGAACCAGACAGATACCACACTGGTTATACCCCATACTATCCAAGTTGGTTGGAAGACGATCATGGTGGGTTGGGACAACCCGGGTCATTCGAGGTCATAGGGTCATCGATGAAAAGGTTGAAGTACAGGTTAAGTACAACCAATTGCGGAAGAGGATTCGAGAGTGCGAAGCGAACATCGGGAAATCTAAGAAGCACATCAGAAGTTGATTGAAGAATGGAAGGATATGGCTATCAGCGCCAACAAACGTCTGAACTATTTGGAGCGGGGCATAGTGGAGCTAGAAAAGAAGTTTCTAAAGAGAGTTGAAGATTGCCGGGTTGCTGAAGGAAATGAAGGCGGACACTTGGCTAGAGCTTATTTGCTGCTGGGACTGCGTGAGCTGGTGAAGCTGTTCGATGGAGCTAAAGATGCCGAGTCTGGGGAAGGTCCTTCTGGGACCAAGTAGTTAGGAGTCTTTTCTTTTGCTTTAAAATGTAAGGCCAATGGCCATTAGTGACATTTTACTTTCTGCAATTTTAGTGTCATTTTGGGATTCGTCTTATTTTTATCAATAAAATGAGGCAATTAGCATTATAAGTTCTCCAAATCAACTTGTCGCTAGGCCTACCTCGGGCACAACGAGGCACTCAAATTAGGACATGATTTATATTCTTGCACTATGTGTTTATATATTGCAACATTTTCTTCTCATAACCTTCACTAACTTGTTACCTTTTTTGTTTTTACTTTTGTTTTATTCCCCCCCCCCCCCAAAAAGGTTAGTTCGTGCACTCTGGCATCATCTTCTTACTCCACAAGATCCAAGGGCCCTCCACCTCCTCCTCCTCCGAGTCCTATCAGAAACAAGGACAAGGGGAAAATGGAAGATTTGAGCAACAGAAAGGAGAACTCAGTTGAAAGGGTAGAGGTTCCTCAGGGTATTCAGGTTTCCAAGGAAAGTGCCGCCCAACTTGAGCAGAAGTTGTTGAAATTTCAGAAAGAACTGGACCAAGTTCGGAACTTGGCAAACTTGTCATTTTCTCCAGATGTCAACTTTCCCAACACTCAAAATCCCGCACTTCCACAAAATATCCCGAAACCACAAAAATAACCCACTCATGCTCAACACTGCAACACATGCCACACTTCAAACAACACCCCATTGCTCATCCCCGAACCGCTAAACACCACAAATGATCATCTCCACAACACTCCTATCTATGTGGAAACCATACCACACTATACTCAACCAATTTCAAGCACACCTGAGTCTGATGACAAAGACTCTCTTATCCGGAACCTGGCCGCAGAACTCAGGAAGTTGACTAGCCGAGTCCAGGGTATTGAAGGAAACAAAGGTATCGAGGGGCTGAATTATGAGGACCATTGCATTCAGCCAGATGTCGAACTTCCTGAGGGGTACAAACCTCCCAAGTTCGAAATGTTTGATGGCACAGGGGATCCCAGAGTCCATTTGAGGACATACTGCAACAAGCTGGTCGGAGTCGGAAGGGATGAAAAGATTTGCATGAAGTTCTTTATGAGAAGTCTGAAAGGAGATGCTCTATCTTGGTACATTAGCCAAGACCCCAAAAAATGGACAAGCTGGGTAGGTATGGCGTCCGATTTCATGGACAGGTTCAGATTCAACACAGAGAATGCGCCAGATGTATTCTACATCCAGAATTTAAAGAAGAAACCCACAGAGACATTCCGCGTAGTATGCTACTCATTGGAGGTCAGAGGCTGCTAAGGTCAGGCCGGCCTTAGAAGAAGAATAGATGAACAGGTTTTTCGTCCGAGCTCAGGACCCACAATATTATAAGAGGATGATGCTGATTGAGGGTCAGAAATTTTCCGACATCATCAAGCTAGGGGAGAGGATCGAGGAAGGCACTAAAAGTGGTATGGTAACCAACTTTGAGGCATTGCAGGCCACCAACAAGGTTCTACAGTCTGGTGGCACGTCCAAGAAAAGGGATGTGAGTGCCGTGATGGTTGCACAGAGAACAAAATCCCCAATAAAATACCAAACCGATCCATTATCCCCACTCACAAATCAACCTACTCCAAACTACCAAGCACCCCCGCCCTCTTACCAAGCTCCACCACCTACTTACCAATCATCTCCACCCCCCACATATCAACCTACCTCACCAAGATATTCCCAACCCGCACCCGTCTACCAAGCCTATAATGCTCGGCCCTCTCACTATCAATCACCTCCCACCCGCCAAAACTTCCCTAGACCGCGACCTAACTTCGACCGTAGACCTCCCAAACAATACACCGCCATCGCCGAACCAATCGACCAGCTGTATGAAAGGCTCAAAACTGCTGGTTACGTCACCCCCCATCCCCGCCATAACTCCAGAAAATCCTTCCCAATGGATCAACCCAAACAAAACCCTGTGCATACCATTCCGGCATGAAGGGGCATACCATTGATGAGTGCCTCTCTCTGAAGGATAAAACTCCAA